TAGTGTTTGTGTTAAGACCTGAAACATTTTACTCTAATCAAAGTGTCGTGGCTTGAATACAGCCGATGCCCGATTTCAGTACTTCTAAGTTTTTTGAGTAAAATCTTAATTCTAGCCACAGTGCATTGAAACTTTAAAAAATCTGAACATCACTTCCTTGTATGGACAATTAACATTATACACAGTTTTTGCTGCATTTCATTTAAACTTATTTCCTCGCATTTCATTAGACATAGATTTGTCACTTCGCGGCAAAGCAGTTTACAGAAAAAATAAAACACCAATTACATTTAAAGCAGTTAAAAAAAAGCAATTTTTTACAATTAAAATTAGAGCTTCTACGCAAAAACAAGTATTTTGGCCAGCGGGCAAGAAGGCAGATTTTTCGGTGCACAAAATGGAAAGTTTACTTTTAGTTCCACTCGGCAAAAAGCCATCAGAGGTGCAGAAACTGACTGAATTCACTATTCTACTCAGTTTCAAATGTAAACAAATGGCGGTTCATTAAGGTTAACTCGCCACTTTTAAATTCTTGATAATTCAACAGTTATAGCATGCAAATTAACTGGAAGCATAAAAACCACATAATTCAATCCTTTCCGAGGAAAAGCTGCACAATTTAGCAACATACAAGAATAAAAATCTAAGCTCACCGAGCCAGATAACACTGAGAATATATATATATATATATATATATTGGTGCAGCCCATTGCAAAGAAAAAGGATGATGCCTAACTACATGTTATAGCAATGCCATGTACTAAATTTCAACGTTCTACGCTTACTCGTTCTTGAAATACGTACGTACAGACGTCAAGAAACAAATCTCTTCTGAATCCAGTTTGGCAAAAACAGTCCTTTATTCTGTCTGTACGTACAGATGTGACGCAAATACGTGGTTCAAATGGTTTCTAGGGCGATTGAAATGAATATTTTCGTCGAAATATTTCGTGATTTCAATACTTCTTTTACTTCGTACAAGGAAGTAAAAAGAAATACTCTGTTGAACAACTGAATTGCAATATTAACATAAAATATTAATGCCGTATTTTATTCAGCAGTCAGTAAAACTGATATTAATACTTAATACAAGATTAACGACTTAAAATTGAGAGCAAAATACGTAGGAAAACTAGAACTTCAACAAACGAGGAAGAAAATCCTCCTGGTCAAAATGCGAACCTGTCAGGGAGACGAATTATTATATTTACTTGGTCAAAATGTTTTTAAGCAGATAAGAGGAGACATTTAAAAAGTACTGATAAATCTGTGCGATGAATACTAATAAAAATATTTGCTTTATTGTCCCCCGGAACTGCATAGTGTTAGCGGAGTCTGAATTCTAGGATGAAGATTTGAATCCCTTGCAAGGTATGGTTATTTAAGTGTCCTTTTGGCTTCTTGTTAGCATATCAGGCCACACCTAGTGGTGTACTCGTTCTCGGTAATTTGACTGCTAAAAGACTGATCGACTCATTTATTCATAATGCGTAAGAAGTAAGCATTTGGCTATTTTGAGGGGAACAAAATTCTGATGTGGACACCACATAACTTTCTTGTACAGCCTATTAAATTCTGCCTATTTTTTGCTGCACTTCATTTAAATTTATTTCTTCGAACTGCATTAGAGATATATTTCTCATTCAATTAGTTCAGTTCTCACTTCGCAGAAAAGCAAAATATATAAAAATTCAAAACAACTTCATTGAAAATTGTAAAATACAGAAAAATCGAAAACACTAAATACAGTTAAAAATAGATAGAAAACAATTTTTACAGTTAAACTTAGAATTTCTGCGCAAAAAGAAACAGTTTGGCCAACGGGTAGGAAGAGCAAAATTTCGGTGCACAAAACTGAAAGTTAGCATTTGGTCGCACTGTACAAAAAGATACTGAATTTGGTTCACCAGATGACTTAAACTATTCTACTAGAAGTTTCAGGCTTAAAAATGGCGGCTTCTTTAGACTTAGTAACACTCAAAAAACTTTTAAATTGTTGATATTTCTACAACTATTCCATGCAAATTAACTAAAGCCTTAACATAAAAACCTTAACAGGAATATAAGAACAACAAAATTCAACCACTTTAAAAGCAAAAATGCACAATTTACCAGCACATATGCCTAAAAATATTGAGCTCCCAAAGCTGGGTAACAGGGTGGGAATAGATATTTGGAACTCCCGACTGCAAAGGAAAAGGGATGTGCCCAACTGCATGTTATAGCAGTCCCATATATAAAATTTCAACGTTCTGTGGCTACTTGTTTTTGAGTCATGCTAGATACATACGTACAGACGTCACTAAAAAATATCGCTTCTGAATCCATTTTAAATCTATTTTACTATTTACGTTGGAAAAAAAGAGTACTGTAACAGATGGCAGAGTCATTCTTCAAAACGGAGCATCTCTTCTAGGTCACGTGATGCGAAATTCGCCAAAATATAAACATTCCTTTTCTTTTTACAGGTCATGTGACAAAAAGAACTTTACAGTTAGGACTTGGAATGCTTCGCCCGACCTATGTAGCTAAAATATTCTCTCACTTTTATTATTTCTTTCGTGTGTTAATTCATAAATAAATGGGTGTTCGTCATACCTAAGTGTCTAATTATTAGCCTCGAGATTCTTTAATAAGGAATGAGAAAAAAGTGTGTATTATAGTACTTTATTCTCTCCGTACGCACAAATGCCATGCAAAAAAAAAAAAAAAAAAAAAAAAAAAAAAAGCCTATTTCCGTTGAAATAAAAAACGTCAAATTTTTCGTGTTTACAATACGTCATTTACTTGGTATAAGAAAGTAAAATTATCTAATGTGGATACCACATGACTTTCTTATACGGCCTATTACATTATACACAATTTTTGCTGCATTTCATTTAAATTTATTTCTCCCAATTGCGTTAGAGATATATTTCTGACTGAATCAATCAGTTCTCACTTCGCGGCAAGGCAAACATTAAAACTCAAAACATCTTCATTAAATAATAAAATACGGATAAATATAAAACCCCAAATACAGATAAAAAGAGGTTTAAAAAAAATTAGAATTTCTACGCAAAAAGAAGCAATTCGACTAGCTAGCAGGAAGACAGATTTTTCTTCACACAAAATTTTAAATTTTCTTTTGGTCCCCCTTGGCAAAAACACACTGAAATTGTTGTGCAAACTGACTTAATTCACTCTTCTAGTATGAATTTCAAATGTAAACAAATGGTGACCTCTTCAGGCTTAGTACCGCTTAAACAACTTTTAAATTGTTTATAATTCTACAACTGTTGAATGCAGATTAAATAAAGGCATTAAAAACCTTAATGTAATATAAGCATGACATTATGCAATCACTTTTAAATAAAAATTGCACAATTTAGCAATATATAAGAATTTAAAAAAAAAAAAAAAAAAAAAAAAAAAAAACAGTTCACCGAGCCTGATCACAGAGTGGGTATTTATATGTATGTATGTGTGTGTGTGTGTTTGGTGCGGCCGATTGCAGTCAAATAAGGACTACATGTTACAGCACAACTGCATGCTATAGCAATCCCATGTACAAAACTTCCAACTCTCTGAGGCTACTGGTTTTGGTGTTATGCGAGATAGCTATATACATACAGACGTTAGTCCTTCTTTCTGTCAGTATATACAGACATCACACAAAAATATCGTTCAAATGGATTCGAGAGCAATTAAAATAGATATTTTCGTTGAAATATGATACCCGAAATTTTTAGAGATTACAATACTTCTTTTACTTCCTAGAAGGAAGTAAAAAAAGATTACTTCCTTCAAACAAAATATGCCCTGAAAAATGTGGAAAAGTTTGATTCTAATAATAATTTACGAGCTTTCTGGATGCAGAGGATTTTTTGTCTTCTAACTCCACTTTTGTCAAAATTTGATTAAATATATTTAATACTAAGTCCTTTAATTATTTGCCTCCTTGAAACTGAAAATTAAATTTTTTTTTCCAGGCATTTCTACCATATATAAATAAATATCTTTTGGTATTAGTAACATGGCATATGAAACTTAAAAGATTTGTTTCACTAATTTTACCAATATCAGCATTAACTTTTCCAGTATTCAACTTTTATCTGACACTAAAATAATAAATTGATTCATGTAATTTATTTATTGATTATGCTAAATATATATATATTTTCTCAGAGGAAATAATATACTCAATAATCCATTAGTAAATAAATTATATATATATAAATCAAGCAAAATTGAATTATGAACTTAAATTTTGTGAATATGTGCATTTCAATATTCTACGTATTATACGATATTTTATATATTAATACGCAAATACTATTGAGATCTTTCTAATACATGTAATTTAAACCTTCGTTCATTAAATATATATATATATATATGTGTGTGTGTGTGTGTGTGTGTGTGTGTGTGATGTACCAGCTTTAGTCGTAGCTTAAATTATCAGACGATAAGTTTTAAAACAGGATCCATTTATTATTATTCAGTAGAAATAGCAGTTACAAAATCAGATATCCGGAGTAAATAAAAAGAATTACTAATAACTTTTTGTATGAAGTTTACTGCATCGTAACATTTAAGAAAAATATTTAATATATTATTAATATTCTTTTGCGAGTCCTTTTATAGCCTCTGGAAAGGCGGAGCTTCCAAGAAAAGACGTCAGCCAATCCAGTTCGCTTTAAATATTTCCAGAAAATTCTATAACTGTACGTGTAGAAAAGGCGTGTAGTATATATATATATATGTAATAATAAATTTTTAATTTTTAATTAATAATATTTTTAATTGGTCTTCAGCAGCGTGCTCTTAATAAAAACTCTGGATACGCCCCTAGTCTTTATAAATGGTTATATTTCACACACAACTCAAAGCATTTACTAATGCTTAAAGCAGAAACTTATTTTAAAGAACGTTTACGTATTGCCTGTGTTTTATTAATACGTTGTTAAAAAAAATTGAGAAAGTAGATTTCCGAAAAGGCTGTTTCTACGAGATCATTTAACCATATGGCAACTGTTTCCGTAGTATCCATAGCAACGTGCTTTCAACAAACTCATTCGCTTTTGAGCAGAAATAAGTAGAATTTAAGTTTCAACTTCTTGGTTTGCAAGACATAACGGTAAGCGAAATTTTAGAAAATAAATAATGAAATAGGTTTACGTAATTATATATATATCCTTTGCATAACTTGTTTTCCTTAGGGAAGTGGGTAAGGTTTACGTTCTGAAACTATTATGTAATAATTACCTTGAATACTTTTGACAAAATAATACGTTTGAATGGGTTATGACCAATGGGGAAAAATAATAAAGGAAGCTTTTAGATGAAAACATTAATTACGCATTGTCTTTCTAACTCCCGAAATATAGTTGTAAAATAAATTTAAGTAATTCGTATTATTAAATTTGTCTAATATGTTGTATGGAATCTAGTATTAATTAGAATTGCACGATGTTAACATCGACTATGAATAAGATTTTAACAGTTCTTATCTTTTTCTGTTTTCTTGTATGTATTCTGTGAAAATAACGTAATGTATTTGAGTAAAAATATACGTTAATCGATTAAAATAAAAACTGCATACTTAGAATGATTATGGCAATGAAATACAAAAGTAATGATATATTTATTGTCTATTTCTCTTCCAGAAATAGTATACAAAATTTTACATTTTTGTTGAATTGATACGCAGAGATACCATAGTAAAGAGCAATTTTAACTCCAGTGTAAACAATTGAATGGAAAAATTTACTTCTTATACATTTACGCAATATTCCATAATTAAGGAATGATCAGGATATTTACGGCAGAAACAAAAACTACCAAAAAGTGCTTGTTCTATCTATACTGATTAATGCCTAGCATTATCTAGTTTGGTTTGGTTTATTTAATTACAGCAAAGCACTTGAGGGCTACCTGGCTAAGAAGAAGGATGCCTTCGTAAAGGACTTCCTGAGGGAAACTAAAGTCAAGTCTTCACCCATGGGGAAAATCACGAAACCGCCAATGCAGCCAGCCCGTTAGCCGGGATTCGAATACCGGTGCGAACTAACAGTGTTCAGCGGATCTGCCGCTGGTGGGACGCCAGCCCCATCTGCAGCTAACCAGTGGCTGGCTCGATAACACCACTGACTATTAGTAGTTTATCTGATTAACAATTAACAAGCTGCCTGCATGAGGTTTTCCCTGTGTGTAATAAAAATATAAATCTGTATCCAGTTCAAAGTCCTCCACGAAAGCATCCGTTTCCTATAGCAAATAGCACTTTACCGTGATTAGTTAATTCACAAGATTCATCTGAGTTAAGTAGTAACCTCTCCTGCTCTGCCTTTTTTTACTTCCTTGTACGAAGTAAAAAAGGAAGTATTGTAATCGGGAAAATTTCCCGAAACGAATTAGAAGACTGATTTAAAATGTATTCAGAGGAGATTCTTTCGTGGTATCTGTACGTACGTACGTATGTATGTGTCTCGCATAACTGAAAAACGAGTAGCCTCAGAACGTTGAAATTTGTGTATAGGACGCTATAATATGTAGATGTGCACCTCTCTTTTCGGTTGCAATCGGCCGCACCAAAAGAATATATATATATATCCACTCTGTTACTCGGCTCAGTGAACTCGGTAATTTTTATTCTTATATATTGGTAAATTGTGCATTTTTTGCTTTAAAAATTATTGAATTATGTTGTTCTTATCTTCTAGTTAAGGTTTTTATGCCTTTAGTTAATCTACGAATAATAGTTGTAGAATTATCAACAATTTAACAGTTGTTTAAGTGGTACTAAGCCTAACAAACCCGCCATTTGTTTACATTGTTACTCCTAGCAGAATAGTGAACTAAATTAGTTTCTGCACCTTCAGTGTCTTTTTGCCGAGTTAGACCAAAATAAACTTCAGTTTTTGCGCCGAAAATCTGTCTTCTTACCCGCCGGCCGAACTGCTTGTTTTTGCATCGGAACTTTAATTTGAATTGTAAAAACTATTTTTTAAACTGTTTTGACTCTAATTGGTATTTTATGTTTTTCTGTATTTTATAATCTTTATTGAAAATGTTTTGAGATTTTGTGTATTTTTGCAAATTGAGAACTGAATTAACTAAGTGAGAAATATATCTTTAATGAAATTCGAGGAAATGAGTTTAAACGAAATGCAGCTAAAATGTGTATAATTTAATAAGTCATACAAGGAAATCATGTGGTGACCCCATCAGATATTTTTTCATGTAATCGGCGGCTCATAAACTCTAATAGCCCACCAGCGGCCGAGCGGTAAAGTCGCTGAACACTGGTAGTTCGGTCCGAGGTTCGAATCCCACGAACGGTCTGGCTGCATGGGCGTTTTCGTGGTTTTCCCCATGTGTAACGTGTATACGAGCCAGTTTTCCCTTAGAAAGTCCTCCACGAAGACATCCTTCCCCTTAAGCAGATAGCCCTCGAGGCTTTGCCATAATCACACACACACACACATAAACTCTAATAAGTATGGTTCAAGATGGTGGCGTGAGGTGCAACGTTGGCGTGTATTACATCATTTTACACCGCCCCACATTCTTTAAACTATTTTTACATATGACATCCAGCATTTGGGTCTACAAAATCGTATGTGTGGTTAACTGTGAGATGATCATATCTTGCTTATTTCAAATCCTATGTTTTATATGCTTTTCAACAATAAAATAATAATAATAATAATAAAAACTACCGTTTGCAATATACTTTTTTTCACTCGCTCCAAGTTAAGTTTTAACTGAGCGATCCGAAACGGCTACAAGAAAACATTCATTTGTTTCTCTACATGGGCCTCCAAAAACCCACTGCGGAGGAAGAACACGTCCAACATTACTCTTTCTTCTTCTAAAAATTAAGTACTCTTTCTTCTTCCGGAGAACGGGTCCGAGGGTCTCCCACCTCTCTTTCCCTACCACCAACCTCTGGAAAGCACTTTCGGCTAGCCGCATATTTAGAGTGCATCGACACTATACATTTACAAACATCCAAACTTTCTACGGGATTTGAACCTAGGCCCTTCGGTACGGTAATCACCGATGCTAACCACTGTACCGGTTGGGCGGCACGGAACAGCAGTAGTTTGATCTACGTTCGAATGCTATCGAAGGAGTTCGTTGTATGGATGTTTGTGTGTTTTCTCCTTGTATAACGTAAGTATGAACTAATCATTCTAAAAATGTCCTCCACGGAGGCATCTTTCTTCCGCCCGAGGCAGATAGGTCTACTTTGTCTTAGCTGCCATTCTGAATAATAAAATCGCAGTTAACTGAGTTAGCCAAATGATTAATTTTATAGGATAGGTGGAAGTTATAATAGAAGTAGTTCTACATTCTAAAAAAGTGTATAAAAAATAAACGCGTAGTTTCGAGTTTAGTTAATTTACTCTTAAGGTCAAAGGAAAAGAAGACATACGTGTCTTCAAGCATGAAAAACTGTATCCTTGTGGAAATTATACCCTAAAACATTTTACCATTTCTTTACATTCAAAACTGGGGGGGGGGGATAAAACGTAGATTACGTGCTATGCATTATCAACAATAATACGGAAATTTTCAGTCAGCTGTCTATTGTAACCACGTTTGTCCTTCCATTAATAGATGCTGAGTTCTGTTCTTAATTAAGATACGAGTTCTGAATGTGACTCAGGACTTAATTACTCTTAGTTGCCAGAAACGAATAATAAATAATTAAAAAAGAATGAATGATTTCAAATAAACAGTTAGATAAATAAATAAACGAAGTCGGGGGGACACCCTTCCCTTCACAAAGCGTAAGTATTATCATCATTATTCAGTTCTACGCCCAATCATTAATTGAAATCAGCTAATTATCTGTTGGAGAATTTACATATTCCACTTAAAAACTCTGGAATATATGCATATATGACAAAAAAATCGGGTAAGAAAAAGTGTAAACTATAATTAGCAATAATTTCTTTTTCTATCTAATTAGGTATTTTTTTGACAAATATTGAGTCAAATAAAAAAAATGACCCCTTTCCATCCTTAAAATAATAACACCTTTGTAATAAATATCTCTAAACTGCGCCATTTCAAAACTAATCCGAATCATATGATTCTTACGCAATTCGTTTATGACTACTTCTTAACGTAAAAGAAGATTAAAAATAAGCTACGTGCGTTGAATGCAATATAACAGTAAATATGATGCCTTAACAATATAACTTAGTTAAATCGGTAGCCCAGAGGATCATTGGTCGGTTATAAATGGTCCAAATGCAACCTGCCTTTGGAATCTCCCAAAATTTCATGTCCAAACTATGAAATCGGTGTCTAGAAGTCGGAAATGTTCGGAGAAATGATGAAATGGAAATACTAAGACCAGGAGATGGTCGTAGGCATATAATAATACAAAATGGGGACCGATATTTTAAAGTAATAAGCGGAAGAAACCGCAATATGAATGTCACTCTTTTGCAACTGTACCTTCTGAAGGCTACTGGCACCAACGTAAACTGTTCGAAGTAGAAGCCATAGTTTTGGTTTGTGTTTCTTTAACAGCGGGTCAGCGAACTGCTGAAAGAAGTCGAGCCCATAAAGATCTCAGATGGAAGGGAAATGAGTGGAGTAAAGTTCTCTTCAAAGGCGAGTCCCTGTTTAGTGTGAAGTTTGACATGGTGGTCAACATTTGGAAAGAATGTAACTCTCGGTATAATTCTTTATTTGTGGGCGAAAGTGTTAGTCTGCCAATGTGTTTGCAGTACGACTTATACATCATTAGAAATGGATACTGACGATATAGATAGAGATGAGATCTCCAGACCCTTTGTGGTCCCTTTTGCTGCAGCAATCTGGAATGAATTTTTTCTCGCGGATGATAATGTCAGGTCATATCGTGATCGATTTCTGAAAGACTTCTTTTTGACGAGGGAATCCTTCGAATAGATTCGTCAGCGTGTTCCCCAGATATGAATTCTCTTTAATTTATACCTCACGGTAAGCAAATAAGGAAAACTTATTTTCTATAATTCGGTTTAATTCTTTAAGTTTGGCTGGGAACTCAAGCTGGTATTACTATTCCTTATAATCCTCATCTTTTTCAATTGTGACGATGTTGAGTTTAAGATTTAACACAGTTTGATTGTCGAGTTTGTAAATTATGGAGCCACGCAGATGGTATAGTGGCTAGGGAAGCCTGACGGCGATACCGAAGAGCCCGGGCTCCAATCCCGGAGAAGGCATGGATGTAAAATTGTCTGTCCCCTCATAGGAGGTGACCGCCTATTAGGTGCCTCCACAATAAAATAGCCACCACTTCTGGCCAATGCCGTTATTGGCAAGTGCCCACCATTGGGGAAAAAAATTGTAAATTATAATGTAAAACCTAAAAAGAATAGGATGATTTTTTGGCAATAATTTCTTCGAGATACAATGGCTGAGATTTCTGATTTTTTTTCCCTATTACAGTATTCATATTGGTTTGCTGTTACATCAAAGTGAATGGCTTCTGCTATCTTAAATATTATGTGCTACCATATACAGACGTGCTGCGATTTACCTACATAAACTTCTTGAATTCTGAATTGTTGACTAGCAGACACGCAATTTTCTTCCTGACTTTAGCCATGTTTTCTTTTATGAATTTACTGATTTGGAGCAGTTCAGTTTCTGGTAATGAACTTTTATTCCAGAAACTAAATTTAATTTTTCTTAAATTCACTCAGAAATGGAATTAACAAAATGGTGAATTTTTAATTACGTTGCCTGATGATAATCAATAAATAACATATCAAAATCATTCTCCCTATTTTATTTTTGTCCCTTACTTATTAGGATTTTTGGAGGGAGGGGCAATGAAGGTTTTCCTTACTTGTTTCCCATGAAGTATAAGATAGGTTTAAAAAAAAAACCAGTATAATTATTTCCGATACTTTTCCGGTATTGGAACCTGATTCAGAAATGTCTGCATGCATGCATGCATATATGTATGTATGCTCTGTGTATATATACATGTATGTATGTGTGTGTATACATATGCATACTTATGTACATTTCTGAACACAGTCCCGAAAATATGAAAAAATACCATATTTCCTTACACATATATAGTGTATACATATCCTTTACAATAATAATCACATAAGTTTAATATCTCATTATGTGTTTGCATTTATTAAATTTAACTTTAGTAACCTTCGTATTCAGATTTATATGTTAATAGGCATCTAATTTTTGTATGCGTTAAAACGTTTTTTTTTTTTTTTTTTTTTTTTTTTTTCATTTCCATTTTGATTTCCAAATGCTTCAGGATTTATATCAAGCTTAAATGTGATACATGAAGGAGTTTCAGATTTCATTTTTAATTATATGCCAAAGTAAATGGGAAAAAGAGTTTAATAGATACAGAAAGATGCACATTAACCTAGTAATATCTTTGATGAATCGTCTTTTTTATTAAAAGATTTGTCATAACACATCGTTAACTGTTGTATGCCTTTTGCACAGAAATTTCTTTGCCACTAAACCAACCTTGCCGCATACTTTGCGAAAAATCATCAATCTTCAGATATTTCTCTGAGCTTTCTCATGGATCTATTCAGCGTTTTTGAAACTTCTACGTTTATCAACGTTATATATGTCTCACTAACTACGCAGTACTGCGCCAATTTTGAGGGGAAATAATCCGGGGATACTATCATGTCTTCATATCGATGAAGTTCTTTTCTAGGTAATTGAAGGAGTTGTATTTTCTTCTCTTTATCGAGGAGGAACTCACCAGCGGCCGAGCGGCGAAGTTGCTTATGAGTTGTAGTTAATGTAGATGCAGGTTCAAATCTAGGCGAACGGAACGGTTGCACGAGAATTTTTGTGGCTTACTGCATGTGTAACGTGACTCCTTAAAAAAGTCCTCTATGAAGTTATCCTTTTCGTTAGCCAAATAGTAATCTCATTCTCTCTCAAATAGTATTCCGTAATTCAAATAACCTTAATCATTCAAGGAGGAAAAGATATAAACATCAAAGAATGTAAATAAATAAATAAATAAAAATAAAATTCTGCAAAAAAATGAGTGATCTTTAACTAAATACGACTGATGTTCCTAGAGCTTTGTAAATCTCGATTAAAGCATACGATATTCCCCCCCCCCAATGGCGGGCCCACAGCCGACTTCAACTTGTCTACAACTAGGACCAAAAGTGGTGGCCACTTTATTATGGAGGCACCTAATAAGTGTACCACCTTTGCCTCCTATGAAGGGACGACGGACAGTTACAACGATGCCTTCACCGGGATTCGAACCCGGGCTCTTTGGTATCGCAGTCGGCTCCCCTAACTGCTCTACCGTCAAGGCGGCCGCATAAGATATAAAAATTATTAAATGCCTTGAAGTCGTTATTTCATGTATTTCGTGTGTTGATAAAATAGAAAGCATTCATTACCATACGAAAAAAAAAAAAAAACTTTTATTGCAACGCGATCGAAAAAAATAAATGCACAATTATATCTTGAATTAAATCATTCCTTTATTAGACCCCGAGTGGTAAAGTTGCTGAAAACCGGTAGCGCTGTTCGGAGTACGAGTCTCAGCGAACGGGTTGGCTGCATAAGCGCTTTCGTAGCTTTCTCCATGTGTAAGTAAGTACAAGCCAGTTTCTCTTAGGAGGTCCTCCACGGAGGCATCGGGCCCACCAGCGGCCGAGCGGTAAAGTCGCTGAACACTGGTAGTTCGGTCCGAGGTTCGAATCCCGCGAACGGGCTGGCTGCATGGGCGTTTTCGTGGTTTTCCCCATGTGTAACGTGTATACGAGCCAGTTTCCCTTAGAAAGTCCTCCACGAAGGCATCCCTCCCCTTAGGCAGATAGCCCTCGAGGCTTTGCCATAATCACACACACACACACACACACCCACGGAGGCATCATTTCCCTTAAGCAGATAGCCCTCGAGAGTTTTGCCATAATTAAATAAACCAAACCAGAAACCTTCCTTTATTAAGTAAGTGCACAGGCCATTAATGTCTCTACAGGCCATTAATTTACAACGAAAATATATCACAGAATTTTTTTATATCATTTTAGCGTTGTAGTTTTAAAGAACTAATTCTTAAACTAGGCCTGTCGTAATCGCTTGATATAAAATTGTTTCAGTGTTAAATTGAAACTGCATAGCAAGATCAGATCGCATTTAAAACATGTATGACATTTTTTTTTATAAAAAAAAAAAAAAAAAAAAAAAAAAAAACATACATTATTTTTAACCTTTGGAACTTTAAGTATAAACTCTTCAAGGTGTTAGATTACAATCAGAAGTTTTCAGCTTCCAATTTTGAAAAAAAAAAAAAAAAAAAAAAAAAAACTGTTTTAATTAGTATTATTTTGCATTTTTTACAATTCCTTTATGGACGATGCATAATCATGTAGAAAACTAGAATTGTCTGTTTTAACATTCAGTTTTCATTCGCTAAATCGTTAAAGAGCACAGCAACAACAAAATGTATGTATATATATATTTCTGTCGTTTTGAATATACTATAACAATTTTGTAACTACAAGTATAAAAATGTAAATTTCATTTAGAATAAAGAAGCCATTTTTTTCAGGTATTTTATTACTGGAAATATGGTTTATAGGCATTTGCTGAATTTCTGGCCTCTTGTGCCCGCTGTTGATATGCAAGCCGTCTATTCATCTTCCAAAGCAATTAGTAGTGAGAGCTGCTCGTCAACAAACGTAGATGAACCATTTCTTAGTTACAAGAAACACTGTGCATGTCTTCAGGATGAATCTTTTCAGGCAGAGCAAAATAAGAAAGAATTTAATTGCTTAATATTTGGAGACGGCCTTGGTTGTCTCATTAAGACAATGGCACGCATGTTTCGTCATGGGACTACCCACATGAATCTGTACGTCGCTGGAACCCTGCCAGAATCTCTAACTCGAACAATTTTACTTCTGACATTATTCGGAGATTCTTCATTGAGTTTGTTAGAAAGAGCCGAAATGTTCCTCGAAATTATGGGGAATACTTTCATTCGGTCTACGACATCTCAATACATCATAAATAAATCTTCACAGATCTTGGAATCTATAGCAACATCAAACCTTACTTTCCCCATTGTTTCTATAGATCACTTAAAGCAGAGTGATATCGATGAGATAGTCGGTGTTTTGACATACTTGAAGGCAAGTGGTTGTCCATATGATATTGCGAAAGCTTGGGAAACTGCTCTGCGTTCATACTTTGGTCCGAGATATGATAATCGAATAAACCTTTTCGATTACCATTTCAACATGAAGCTCTCGGATTATAGCATCATTAATCTGAAGAAATATCTCGAATGGAGAGAAACGGGAATAGCATTTAAATTTCGGAAAGCAAAGTATAACTTTCCAAATAAAACTTTACGAATTCACGGAAAACCATCTGCGAACAAAAGTCTACAAAGCGATCTGCAGTTTTCGTCGAGTTTCTTTGGTGATATCACAACTAGTCCTTATTTAGTTTTTGGAGTGGAAAGTGGAAACAGAGATTTATTTGAAAAAGCTAACAATGAATACATATATACCAGCGAGGATGTATCTAAATTTAATGTAATCGATTTCATGGATGAATTTAGCTCTCTCATCAAAGTTTACACTAGTGACAACTTGAGAATTCACATTTTATCCTGCGATAACATTTGCCGATCTCGAAAATTTGAAAATTATTTTGATGGTGTTTATATTACTTGTGACAAGACAAACGCTGCTCAAAAACTTCTTCCGCTCGTTTTGAAACCAAATGGCGTTGTTCTTTTCGAAACCATTCGAAATGTTGTTAACTCAACCAAAGAACAGAAGTTGAAGCATTCTGAAGAAATAATTCGTTTGGCTGAAAGCAGTGGCTTAGAATCAGTAGATAAATTATGGGACGATGAAGGTAATTTCAAAGCCTTCATATTAAAGGATAAACTTAGATATGTCACTTTTTAGGTGACACAGATGCAAGCAATGCATATAATTTATTTATCATTTTCACATTTCTAAAAAAGTTATTCTATATTCCTCAGTTCAGAAGAAAACTATAATGCATTTAGCTTAATAAATGATAATGAGTTATAGTGCAGTGCCTCAGTAATTCCTACTTATACATAAAAACAGAATGTTTCCTTTACGTTTATATCTAGTCACATAAACACCAGTTAACTGATAGACTAGAAATTCAGCGTTTAGATAACCAGTAAGTTGAGTTGGAAAAAAGATCTTGCATTGCTTCTTACATTTTAAACCTTCTTCGACATGAAATTAAAAAAATCGGGATGGGCAAATATTCCTAAAAAAATAGGTAAGTTTTTCAGTTAGTAGGGAAGTGTGGCATAGACGCTATAAATGCCACACCTGTTTGACATTCAGCTTCAGATGAGACAGAGTTACAGAGTGATGAAATTCCATGTTGCGATGTTTTTATGACTGAAAACGGATATTTACAATCTAAAAACTGTGAGTTAGTTTATATGTAACATCCCTTAGTCTGTTAGAAGGTTGTATTATTATATTTGCATAAAAATATTATACTTGCAACATCAAAAAAAAAAAAAAAAAATCTGTGCATGATCTATACCAGCCACAGCAGCCGTTGGGTGCTGAAGATAGCTAGCGGATATAGGTGCTATTTGGTGGCTAATTGGAGACGGACTGGTACTTCTTCCATTTCTACCTCTACCTTCACTACTTGTACCTATTATAGTCAAGCTAAAATATGGTATATAGTGCACATTAATTCTGCATTAACGGCAGATAAGCTAGCACCGGTTAGATTATCTGAAAATTACTATTTTATTTGATAGCTACTTCATCGTAGCTATTACATCTACTCATCTACGGAGGCGGATATTACAATTACTCTATTTACAAATTACCAAGTTATTTGAAGCAGAACCTTAAAAATTCGTTTTTGAGTTTGAACACTAATCAGATGGATCTCTTGACAAAGTATTGCAACTTTTGAAAATTTCATAACACAAGGTGAATCATACATGAACTGAGTTAGCAAAATTTTAACATGATAAACATGTATCACACATTTATAATTATTGCAGTCCCAACATACACAGTAAAAAAAGTTTCATGTAGAAATTTTAGGGGGTGGGGAAGTATAACTTTCTAATCTAAGTACACTCTAACTAATTAAAAAACTCATGTATCCATTAAACTAAATATTTTGTCATGATAATTTTATATAAATAAAAGAAATTTCTGCAAGTTGTTTTACGTGAATCATCTCACTGTTACGTGAAGTAAATTCTGTAAATAGTGCTACGCTAATAAAAAGTAAATTATGTAATAATAATTATTGCTAACAGCTTAACAAACTGTCAGCATTATATCAAATATTTTTTTTTAGAATTTAAAAAGATGGGTAACCATTATTAATTAGAATGTAATACCGGTAATAATTATAATCATTATAAGTTCTAAAATGTTGAGTTATGAAAAGCCCAAATCACTGAATTTGTAATTAATCACCTCAAGCACTATTTCCTTTACTTTAAAACTAACTTTTATTTTTATAAACTCTAAAAAGCTTAGAAAAGATTATGTAAAGATTGAAATATTTTGCACAGTCAGGAAAATAGCGATGTTTCGAGCAAATCTGAGTAAATGCTTTAAAATCAAAATAACAAAAAGCAGATAATTGAGAGGTTTTGGATTTTTGTATACAATCAAATCTTTCAGAATCCCGTAAGTAGCACTCTTTCATGGCAGATTGGAACCTCCAAAGGAGTAGAGAATTTCCAGCATTTTGAACAGAAAATAAGTTCCTTACGAAGGCAGTGTACAATTTTTCAGCAGTTTTGTGTACTGAAAGATGAATGATTTCAGAAAAACACACATACACACACCCTAAAAACAGCTGATGGGGATTATTCAAATGAGCTTTAAAATATTCAAATACTTGAAACTGAGGGGGAATGAGAAAAACTTTAGTTTGATTTTGTAAAATTTTAGTTTATCGAGATTAGATACTTGCAGTTGACTGCGTGCCAAATTAGGGAGGAGATTTCATATCAGACCTTTCTATCTACTCAACACTGTATTCATGCCTATTAATTTGAAAATTATGCTAATTAAAAACAAAACGCTTTTATTAAACTGCTCTACACATATATGAAATTTCGATAAAACGCAAAAATGAATTTTGAGCCCAATAGCTGTTAGTCGCGAAACACGACTTGACGGTGTTTCACTTTAAATTCGAATTTATTGCCATTTGGCAAAATGTAAAATATTGACAATATGTACTGCTAAACCATATTAAACTTCAATGCAGCCCCTTTTCCTTTAAAATCTGAAATCTTTCAAAATTTATTTATTTATTTATTGAAATCACCACGGTAGTTGATTATGTATATTATAAAACCTGAGCTTTTTAAGCTGAAGATTTTTTTTATGTAAGCAGGTATTATGTGCTCAGGGCCAGGAGTATGTTCTGAATATAATGACTTAAAATATTAGTATTCCAAACATAATAATAAAATCGTACTGTAATGAATTAATTGATAGCAACAATTCGATAGATTAATCTGATAAGTCTATCAGTTATAGATAGATTAATCTGATAAGGAAATAATACCTTCAGTGTATATTAAGAAATGATTTAGTTTATGCGCAATGATATTTTCAAGTTTCTAACTTTGGAGATGTAATGAAAAAGGAGGAGAAGAAGAGACATGTTCTTCTTATGTTACCCTAAATGTGATTGCAGGCAGAACAAAACAGTTAGCAGAATTTCGATTATTCGAACTTCGATGAGTCGAAATGAATGTTTCTCTCAAACTAAATGGATTCAAAATTAATGTTATCTTTTCTCCAGATGTTTAATTTCTCTAACTCGAAATAGTTTAATTTTCCCCCTTGAATGAGGCTGAATAATTCTCTTTTTAAATTTCTTTCTCAAGAAGCTAAGTTCTCCACATAGCACAGTTTGTGGTGAAGGTCACCCACAAACTCTTTGTAGAATATTTACGAAAATTTCTATCATTGTTTAAAAAATTATTATTTATTTTTAAATTGCAGTCTATATTTTTATTTTGAATAAAGCAAATTTTAATTTGGTTAATATATTACACTTTAATACTAAATTTTAATATTTAAAAAACCAAAAGTAATGTTTTAAAAATGCTGTTTTTGTTAGGCTTTTTAAATTAATTTTTTTGTGAAATATTTCTGTAGTTAGAAAAGAAATGTTAAAAAATACAATAAAACTTTTTCATTCATTTTTATCATCACGTTTAAATTGGACATATCCATAAGTCAAAATAATATTTCATAGCATTATTATTAGATGAATTTTTTCCTAATGTAAGTATATGATTAAAATTTGTATTTCTTTATATTTTAATATTTATGATGCATCGAAATAACTTCCAACTTATCTATTCGCAATTTTTTTTTGCTTTTCTTTATTGCATGTATTATTTATAGACATTTCTACGTACAGATCTAAGCTTAATTTATAGAAAATGTCGTTTGCTCGAAAGTTTAATTCACGTAAACAAGACCTTCATTTCGAGTACATGAGTTTTGTTCACTTAATGAAAAGAGGTTTTTTTTTTTTTTAACGTGTATTGTTGTTAAAGGTGATCGTGAGAACAAAAAATCTAACTGCAAAACGTATTTATGAGAAATGATATTTTATTTATTTCACATATATTTTAATCTTCCACAGGAAAAATTAAGATAACATTCAGTAAAAAGGTGTTAAAACTTTTTTGTCTTTTTTATACATATTATAATTTTTGTATAGTTTCTAAATAAATTATAAATTCATTTCACAAGAAACAAAAAACAAATGTAGTTAATAACAGTTTGACATTGTAAGTAAATCAGTTCCTGTACATACACTCTGTGAGGCAGAATACTTTATTTTAACATCGCTTCAGAACAAAACGTACATATTCAGAAATTGCAGTTTTAATTAAAAATTCGAAGCGTTTGAGCATTTGTGTAAAATCTTATAAAAAACTTGAATATTGAATATTACGAAAATTACACATATTTACATGCTCGTGAATTTTCATCATAGTCCAGCAATACATTAAAAGAACTGCAAAGTTATTTTGAATAGTAGAACTAAATTTTCGATAAATTATGTGAAGTTTGTTTTGATCTGAATAAAAAATTTAACATATATTTTTCACCTTAGGAGTATTCACCAGTCTCATAAGAAATCTTGAGCATTATTACCCGTTCTCTGAAAAAGTACATCATGATATAAACTAAATTGGACTAAAACAAATTGATAGATATGTTTATACCAAATTGCTTCTGTTATTCTCTCTAGTGACTAAAATCTTTATTTGCATGTATAACAAAGCTCTAGAATTTGTCCCTAATCAACACATTTACAATTATTAGTTCTCATATTATGTTTAACACTTCCGCTAAAATAAGATGCATAGCACACGGTGGCAGATAATTTTCGTGTGCACAAATTATTCACAAAATATTAGATGCAGAAGCTTTCCTTCTAGACTTGTAAGTATTCCTGTCATATAACTTGAAATTATTTATTCTCTAGTATTTCGAAAATTAAGAAAATTAAGTTTGGCTTGCAATGAAATAACAAGTGCAGAGCATCATCACAGTCAAATAGCACTAAATGAAATATAATTTTCTTGCCTTGAGTAACATGCTTTCAAGCAGTAGGCAGTTTAAATATGGAAGTTCTAAGTATGTTCTGGTAATAACATTTCTTGAAGTCATTAAGATTTCAAAAGCCAGATCTGAAGTAAAAGGCATTGGAGATGGATGATGTTCTCTCATTTATGGCAAAGCACCAGTACCTCGTCAGTTTTCGTACAAGAACAACTTGTCAGTTTTCGCACAAGTCCCAGAATTTATACATCTGCAAAAAGAAAGCGGGAATTAAAATTAGTTAAAGAAATTATATTACAGTACATTGAGCGCATAACATATTCACCTTTTGGGAAGAATAAAAATGGCTTAAATTGTGGGTATATACTAAAAATAATTCTGAAAATCTAAAAGAATTCTTTTCTTCAGAATTATGTATTTTGAATATCATTAGGATACATGGATTGCATAATATATTTGCTTTTCGGGAAGAATAAAAATGACTTCCACAGAAAATATTATGTGGTATACACTAAAAAGAATGTGGGTATACACTAAAAAGAATTCTGAAAATCCTGTGATAATTTTGAAGCATAAAATGATGATAGAAAAACGGGGGAAAGGAAAACTTCGGCTTCAGAGACTAATGAAGTATTTACCAGTGGCAACTGCCCGATATTACCATTTTATTCTTTCTTACGTAACACACAGCTGTTTAACGCATTTTTCAGTACATATACGTAACTGCTTTATAAATACAACAAAATCAACATTATGCTTCTTAATGGCATTTTAATACATCTCTGTGGCAACAGATTATTAACAAAATGTCTAACATTAAAAGCGGTCTTCGAAACGATTCTATTGCAATTTATAAACATTTGTGCTGTGATAATTTTCATTCTACAGACAGTTGTGTGCACGAGGCCAGTTTTTTAATGAAAAATAAGATATTTAGACACTCCATCTTTCTAAATTTATAATCGTAATCTTTTTTAACTTAAGCTCATCCATATCGAGCTCAGTAACAGATTTGTCATATTTTATTAGCTAATCATTTGATGTCTGTGAGACGAATTATAATTGCCCATGTTTTGGAGAAAACAGTTTAGTCATATACTACGCTGCAATAAATTAATACTTATCTTTATTTTAGATCAGTAAAATCTTTAGCAAATAAATTTTCGTATGATCACTTGATTAAAAAAAAATTTCAATCGTTGATAAAATAATTCCATATTATTGATTTTTGGTTGCCTTGTCAACGAAGTTAAAACTGAGTAGTAGTGAAAGAAGATGAAAAGCATAATGGAAGGAAACGAGAAGCGCAATAAACGTAGTAAATAAGTAACTTGAAGAACGAAAGAGATAAAGAAACTCGAAAAGTGTTATAACTCATAGAGAAAGAACTAGTACGTGCTTTGGAAACAGTTGTTAATCAGAGGTTTAAAAACCATTCTTCATCACGATTCTTCTATCTATATGAGGTAAATGAAAAAAAAGAAATACAATGTAAATGAAAGTCTGTCATTTACAAATTGTAGCTTACATGTACTTAATATTACATAATTAATTATTTTTTCTGACTCAGTTGCATACAAAATTTCCTTCGCAGTAAACAAGATTATGTTTTTATGCATATTATTATGGCATAGTCCAATAACCTGAAGGATGAAAGGTCAAAGTTTTCTGTTAAGCCTAAAAATACCAATGACTAAAATAATAATAAAATAAAATTTTCTTCTTTTTGACAAGTATGCGCTTTAGTCTGCTTTCATAATGCTAAAGTAAAAAAAAAAAAAAAAAAAAAAAAAAAAAAAAAAAAAAAAAAAACTATTCTTTCTTAATCACAGAACACTTTTTAAAGGAGTCGTGACTATTATATATACATCTTAAACAGCAACGTACTTTGACGAGATCTATTGAACGTTTTTGCTCTGAGGTTTATAGTGGATGATTAATTTGAAGATAACATTCTCATAGCATTCGTTCAGAGCTGGATTAAGACTTTTAGGCTCCGTTCAGACGGTGGTATAAATGTCATAGAGGTATAGTCATAAGGCACGAAATGCAGGAGTTCGAGAGCAAGTGCGAACGGAAAGTACCCAATTAGAGAAGCTACATTTGCGCATCCCTGGATCTCTCTACAGCTTTCCTGCCCTGTTTTCCCGCTCAATAGGTTTCACGCGTTCGTTCTGGTTGGTTGACTGTTATACCAAGTCGGCATAAAGTTGAAAACTTTGAACTTTATGCCAAAACCCCTAAACCAGTTTTTGTGACAAGGCCTGGGTACCTAGTCGCTAAAAATTTCGGGTATCATATTTCAACAAAAATATCTATTTTAACCGCTCTCGAATCCATGTGAACGACATTTTTAAGCGACATCTTATACGTAAGGACAGAATAAATAACTCTTTTTGTTTTTCTTTCTTTCCCAAAACGGATTACAAAATGCATTTAAAAGGGATTCAGAAAAAATTTTCTTGTGATGTACGTAAGTATCTCGTACGTAAGTAAAAATAATTAGTCTCAGAACTTTGAAATTTTGTATATGGGACTGCTATAACATGTGCCTCTTCGGTTTTGGTTGCAATCGGCCGCACAAATGGTATACATATTGTTTGCTAAGAAACTAACATAAAACAAAATTAAATAATTATCTTGAACCAACTTTATTTGTTTACAATGCAATTTTCATAATTTAAAATTTTAATTAGCTTTATATAAATAAGATAATATTTTTGCATTTGTTAAATTTAGATTTATGTATATATATATATATATATATATATATATATACCCACTCTGTTACCCGGCTCCGTGAGCTCAGTTTTTCATTTTTGTATGTTGTTAACTTGTAAATTTTTCGCTTAAAAAGTGACTGAATTATACTGTTCTTATCTTCCTGTAAGGAATTTTATGCCTTTAGTTAATTTTCATGCAATAGTTGCAGAATTATCAACAATTTAAAAGTTAAGGTGGTACTGGCGTAACGAGGCGGCCATTTGTTTACATTTGAATTTCTTAGTAGATTAGTGAATCAAGTCAGTTTCTGCACCAACTTCAGTGTCTTTTTGCTCAGTGGTAGCAAATGTTAACTTTTAGTTTTGCTCACCGAAAATCTGCCGTCCTGCCTGCTGACCGAATAGCTTATTTTTGCGTAGAAACTCTAATTGTTTAAAAAAAAAAAGAAAGAAAAACAATGTTTTTAACGGTATTTAGTGTTTTATGTTTCTCTGTATTTTACAATTTTAATTTAATTAATTTTTTTTAATTTTATATATATATATATTTGCCTCGCCGCGAACTGAGAACTGAATTTATTGAATGAGAAATATATCTCTAATGAAATTCGGTGAAATAAGTTTAAATGAAATGCAGCAAAAATGTGTATAATTTAAGAGGCCATGCTACGAAGTCGTGTGTTGTGGTCGATCGTGTGGTCGCTACGTGTGGTGCCCAAGGCAAAGTACACTAGCTTTGTATATGCTTTACTGTAAACATTGGACCACTGTCAAAGCATTTAAATTTGGAATAGGCTCGCTTTTCAGCACATTTTTAACTAGGATTAAAGATATTAAACATGAAGAATAAGCTATTATATATGATAAAACTCTGATGCGGATACCACATGACTTCCTTGTACGGAATGTTAAATTATACGCACTTTTTGCTGCATTTTATTTAAACTTATTTCTTCGAATTTCATTAGAGATAGATTTCTCATTCAATTAATTCAATTCTCACTTATAAAACCTCAAAATATCTTCATTAAAAATTGAAAAACATAGAAAAGTAAATACAGTTAAAACATTTAAAAGCAATTTTGACAATTTAAATTAGAGTTTCTACGCAAAAACAAACAATTCGGCCAGCGGGCAAGAAAGCAGATTTTTCGGTGCACGAAACTAAAGATTCCTCTTAATCCCACTCGGCAAAAAGACACTGAAGGTGCAGAAACTGACTTAATTCACTATTCTGCTAAGTTTCAAATATAAATAAATATGGCTGCTATGGTTGAAAAAATACGCTTAATCGCACTTAAACAACTTTTAAATTGTTGATAATTCTACAACTATTGCATGTTGATTAACTAAAGTTACAAAAAACGTAACCGGAAGATAATGCACAATTAACCAACATATAAGAATAAAATAAACTGATCTCAGCGAGCCGAATAACAGAGTGGGTATGCATGTATATATGTATATATATATATATATATAATTTATTTCCTACACAGTATTGATTAATTGATTATATTATCTCCTAAGTTTAATTAAAGTAGGATTATTTTAATAGTGTGCATCCATACTGGTAAGTTATATTTTGAAAGATGTTTTGAAGTAATTTGAAAGCAAAATGTTAATAATGTTTTAACGGGGACTGGAGTTAAATCATCACGAAGAATAATATTTCAATTGTAAAAGTTCGTGATTACCAGTATGGATGCACACTATTAAAATAATCCTACTTTAATTAAACTTAGGAGATAATATAATCAATTAATCAATACTGTTTAGGAAATAAATTATTATTAACTAACTTTGCAGCAATTGCGCAAGTAATAATAACTTGTATTCGCACTAAATGGATTTAAGATCATACAACATTATATATATATATATATATATATATAATTATAAATTTTTTTTATAAAAAACATAATATAATCGTGCGTAGTATTTCCGAGGTTTAAACTGCTGAAAAATTATTAGGAAACATATAAAGTTAGAAATTTAGAACCAATTTTTCACAAAGACCAAAAATTGAAATTCATATGTAATAAATTTCAAATAATCCATAAGCAATAAATTTCAAATAACTGAAATTTATTACTAATTTTCAAATAATCCTATAAATGCAAAAAAGAATTTAAAAAATGTTATAATGTCCTTACGTACAGATGTCACGCAAAAACATCGTTAAATTGCATTCGATATCGGTCAAAATGGATATTTTCGTTTAAATATGATACCCGGAGTTTTTCACGATTACATTACTTCCTTTACTTCGTAGAAAGAAGTAAAAATGAGTAAATAGTAGGGCAAATATAAAACTCCTGTATTTTTAATTTTTTTTTTTTTTTCTGCGAAATGTGAAAAGACTTTTAAAAGTTCGAGTAAATAAATCTCAAAAACTTGCACGGCAGTAAAATTACTGTCTTACTGATAATTAATTTTACAATAGACGCAACAAGCAAGTGAGTGAAATATAATTAATTAATCACAAAGTTTAAACAAATGAATGACCAAAGTAATTATCTCTCTC